CTACCAAAAGGTTAACTCTGCCTTGTAAACATGCCTTTTGGAAATACTGCTGGCTGAATCAGACTCCATCCACCTACCACATGGGGGTACCTGGCAGTCATACGGCATGCTTAAAAGGAGTCAGTGTGTTAAAAATGGGGTTGAAACTCTGACATCCATAAGGGAACAGAGTTAAGTTTTTAGAAATGTAGATATAATCCATGGTAGTAACAGCAGTAGTGTGATATGAAAGTGGACTAGAAGATAGGTACTATTAAGCAGATTATTTTTTCCTTGATACTGTGTCAGGTAATTCATGTCCAGGAGTTTTAGCAGTTTCAAAATATTTTATGCATTAACCGTCGTACACTTTTTAAATAATGTTCAAGCAGATGACAGAGTTTAGATGAGGGAGGTGCATCAACCTATAAATTGATGGCAACCTATAACTATATCAGGGCATACATCAGGGCTTGGGGGAGCATCTATTTACCAATAGGGAGGACAAGAAATAACGGGCACAAATTGATTGACATAAGGAAAGACTTCTTTAAAAGTCACAGGCCGAAGGTTTGGAACAGGTTTCCCCCAGAGGTGGTACAGTCATCGACCTTGGCGATCTTCAAAAAGCTTCTTGACGCCCATCTTGATGGAGTCATCTGATCCCAGCAGTCTTTCCCACCCAAGTGCAAGAGGTCTGGACCTGATGATCTGTAAGGTCTCTTACAGCCTCTAACATCTATGAAACAGTTGTGCCACACAAGTGAAATCCCAAAAGAAGATTTAGTAAGATCTGCCAGATCAGCTAGAGAAATACTGCTGCAAACAATGAAGATCACATTCATTAGCAGTTGTACTTCTCTGGAAGATAAAACCTTTTATACTGCAGGGTATGATCGTTCAGAAATGCAGTAGAAAATCCTCTGTAAGCAGATGCACATAAAACTTCCTTCCTTACAGAACAGCAGGTGTGTCTCACAAGGCAACAGAATTGCCCAGAGTGAGGCATCAGATAAATCTGATAAAAAAGGACAGCAGTTGACAGCCATTCATTGATGACTCACTGAACATAAGCTTTCAGTTATAAGTATTACTAAAATGCAGGGTGGGTAATAAATAAATAAAAATCTGATTTTTTATTTAAATCTTTCTTTATTTAATTGTATTTTTAGATTTTTTTGTTAAGATGCTTTTAAAAAGAAATTTACATAAAGACAGTTTTAATTTAATATAGTTAAAGCTCAAAGATATCATCATGGAATAGGGATTACTACTTCTAATTACATACTGTTTGAAATAATATATTCCTGTAAACCTTTTAGAAGTTTTATAAATAGGTCACAAGAGGCCACAGACTATACTAGGGGCCCGATCTTTAGATCAGTAAAGATTAAAGAAAACCACTCTACCCAATGGGACTCAGTGCTCAGTCTAAAAGATCCCATTAAGCAACTCTGTAATGCTTAGTTTCAGTTCTCAACTCTGGATTTGCGTCTCCAGAGATCATAGACAGACAAGGTTCTTCGGGTAGATGGGTTTTCTTTAATTAGACCAACTAAATAGTTGGAAAATTTGTTCTTTGCAAGCTTCCGGGCAAAAACGCCCTTCTTCAGGCATAGGGAGAGTTTGTCATCTCCACAGATAACATCCTTATTAACAGCAGTTCATGGAAATGAGAGACAACGGGCCTAATTACCAAAGATCCAAGTTTTCCATTTCCCACAGAAAAGTGGAGGAAAGCATGGATTTTACCCTTCACCAAAGGAAAACGCAGATTTCTCATTTTACCACAGACCTGTGGATTTTGCAGTTTTGCAATGAGCTCTCTGCAGGCTGGCAGAGTTCCAGCCTGCAAGGGGCTGAATGGAGTGAGAGAACTGTCAGGCAGGGGGCACCAAGTATATGGACATGGCCACCAGCTCCCGCAAGTAAGTGGCAGCAGTGGCGGGGGGAGGTGGGATTGAGGTCCCCCACAGGGAGGGAGGGAGTTTGGCAGGGCTGGGGCTGGTACCCAGCTGGGCAGTAGGTGAAGCTTGGGGCTGCAATGCATAGCCGCAGGGCCCCAGTGGGGAGCAGAATGGGGCCATGGGCAGCTCATCCAGGGAGGCAAGGCTAGCTCCCTGCTGCTGTGCACATTCTGGAGGGGGATGGGGGGGGCGGCTGACCTCTAGATTTGTGTGTGGGGCAAGGGTGTGGGCAGGCTGCCCACTGTGTGCTCAGGGTCTGCCCTGCTGCCTCTCCCCCCAGATGATCTCCTGCTATCTATACTAACTGATGTACATTTTTAGTTTAAAAAAATCACTTTATCACTTACAGGAACGAATGTCAGGCATAGAACATTTTCTAACATATCCTATTTAAAAATTATTAAAAGAATTCAGACAATACAAAAACTGAAAGGTCAACTGTTTAATACTTCTGAATTTGCATCATGAAAAATCAGTTATGTATTGAGAAAGAAAATATAAATCCCATTTCCAAAGTTAATGTTAACTATGGAGCTGTGACCACTACTTCCAAAACAGCACAAACAGCTGAGATTTTAAAAGTTCATTATACATCTTTTCCAATGGAATGATAGGAAGTGATTTTATCATTTTGTAAGTAGCACCTGTAATGGAAGGACATATTTTATAAGGATACAGACTATGAACTGTTACTAAATCGACCATATTTCAATTATTTCACGTCATACTGAAAAACGATAGGTTTTTGAATCTGTGTGTTTAACAGGAATATCACTTCTTGACATGCCATACAATTTGCATTAATTTTCTTTCTAAAATGAATGTAAAGGAAAAACAGACTGGAGTGCTTGCTGCTACCAACAAGTAAGGTGGATTTTTGCAAATAAGACTTGCTTACATTGATTAGCTTAAACACTGCATGGGGATACTATTAATTGTATTTGAAAATTTATAATAGCTTTTATTTTGAAGATGTAACTAATGACAGTACAGTGGAGTCGCATCTTACATGTGGGCTAGGTTCTACAGTCAGTGCATAAGTCGAAAATCGCGTATAGTCAAAATTATGGCATCTTGATAGCATGGATGCTAGATTCGTTGCGGCCATGTTTACGTGTGGCGAGATGCTCACTTTATGAGAGGCATGCGGGAACTGAGACCAACTGAGGGAACAGCAGATTCACGTCTCACTCGGGGGCATATGCTCATTGAGTGGAATGGCGGGCAGAATTGCTCGCACTATTTAAATTGTTATTTTTCTCTTTTTTTTTTTTTTTTTGCTGAGTGCATATAGTTGAATTCACGTAAGTTAAATGCGCATGTGATGCAACTCCACTGTATTTGTGCAGCAGGTCTGACAGGGTTTAGCACCTGTAGTCCTTACATTTGTTGATCTAACCAATGGATTACAATGATTCAAAGAACAGCATTCATTAAACAAAGTTTCATATCATTTCAACAGCAGGAAAATAAAATATGCCATAAGAAAAAGAGGGCTGTTACCAAAACAGAAAAGATCTATGTATACATTTCTTTCACTTCAACTGACGTAACAGGCAAGAGAGCCAATGGAGACACCCATTTTACGCAACACTGGCAGGTCTGTCAGCCTGTTGGTCCAAATAACTCCTCCATTACTTCCTATCCCCAGATGAGGATATCCATGTTAGTCTGAAGTCATGCAGAAGGTACAGCAGGGTGGCACCTCAGAGACCGATTTGTTTAGAGAGGTATGAGCTTTCACAGGCAACATCCAATTCAAAGCTAGGAATGGACTGGCAGAAAGAAAAGATTTTTTATAAAGAATGGGACAAGGGGACAGGGATGTTGCTAACAGCAGTGGTAAGCAGACTGATTAGATAAAAATTGTCAGACATAGGGCCTATAAGGCTCAGGTGGCTCCAGGAATTTGAGGGTGGGGAGAACAGGGCCTGCCACAAAATTTAGGGCTGCAGGACCTTGCTGGGGATGGCCTCCCTGAACTGTCCATCACTGACCTCCATAAGCATACCTTTTTTGTGGAGGGGAAAGATTTGTATCCAATGTAAAATTTAACTTTTGTTTCTGAATGCATGCATTTTTAGCTCCACGATGGCATTTGTGCAAGAACAAAGAGGAGAGAAAACAAAGCCATTTTCACAGGTACCTGATCCGACTCTCACTCTTAGTGGAAAGACTCTTACTGACTTCAGCAGAGATTGGTTTGGGCCCGAGATGACTGACAACAGCACAGAACCTGCTAGAGGGTAGCCATGAGAAGCACTTGTATTGCAAACTACTTTGTGTTTGCAACTGCCAGACTCAGGGAGATGGCAGTTCTCTCCGGCAGTGGTCAGACAGCCAAGTAGAGTTGCCTATTTTGCTACTGTTCCTACTATAAGGGGTATCTCTTTTTTTCCTGTCATCTGTAAGGGTACAGCCGTGTGAACCAATTACCAGGAAGTCACCTACAGCAGTGATTCTCAGACTTCTTTATACCAGGAACAATCTGTAAACATGGATGGCCAGTCCTGATCCACTCTCTGCTGTCCCCCAGTGTGTGCGGCAAGGGGGCCCCCCCCTCACAGGCTGAACCTCTGCCAGCCTGCAAGGAAAAAACCCCAGTTTCTCACCTTTTTAAGAAAATCCATTTTTTAAAGTTTGCTCTTTCATATAGTCTTACTGCCCACTTTTGGGTTGTGACAAACGCTGAGGTAGTCAAACCCCTGCTCACAGCGGCACTAGATCTAGGGGCAACTAACGCTGCCCACCACACCCTCAGGCAGCACCCCCATGGCAGAAGCCCCGCCCCCCATCGAAACAAGCAGTTTCGTTTCCGCGTGGAGGACGCCGCACTCGTGATCCACACACACACACACTACACAGTCGCGGGGAAAGAGGAGGAAGGAGAAACTGGTCCGCCGCCCCGCCCCGCCCCGCCCCGCCCCGTCCCACGGGACAGCGGGCGCTAGAGAGAGTCGGGGGAAGCCAGACCGCAGGGACTGACGCAGCCCCTGCTCGGTACAGCCCCGCAAGGGTTAGAGCGCCCGCGGCTCCCAGCCGGCCCCCGCTCACCGCACTGAGACGAATCCCGGTCACTGTTTTCGTCGCCATTTTAGCTCCAGCGCCCGAACCGCAGCTGGGGGCAACAGCCTCCTCCTGCGGCCCGGCACTTCCGGGGCGGGGCTAGCGCGCGAGGGGGCCGTTTCCGGCGGTGGGGGGCGGGGCTAGAACGCTGGAGGTGGGCGTGGGTGGGGGCGGGAGAGGGCTTCGACCCACCTCTCCTCGCGTCTGGAAGAGGCACTGCTCTGCTGTTGCGTCACGGGCGGGGGCGGGGCTAGGGTTCCTAGGTGTCTGGTCCCGCGCTCCAGGGCCTGTGGGAGAGTTTAGGGGCACCGTGGCTGCCATGCAGGGCATGCTGCAGAACCCGGGGTCCCTGGACCCTGATGGGCAGCGGGCGCTTGCCTGAACCGAGCCCCGCTCCCTTCTGCCCGCCCTGCCCCCTGAGCACGGCTCCATGTGCCGCTGGCCCCAACCCCAACCGAGCACAGCTCCCCCTCCTACACCCCAGCAGGCTCCAGGCCTGGGGTGCTTCCCCCTTTGCTGGGAGGGGCCTGCGTTTCTCCTCCCACGTGGCTTGTCTTCTCCCAGCAGTGTTGCCAGGTGTACAATGGCATCGGCATTCAACCCTTGTACTGGATAAGCAATATTAGTAAAAGCGTTCCAACTGTAGGACAATTTTTGAGGCAGCTGATTGATGCAGCATATGCAAAACCCAAACAACGGGCAGGGGGCCTTAATGGACTTTTGCGCTGGCTGTCAGCACTTTCTTAGTACTGCTTGCCTCTTGAGAAAGAGATGCTTTAACTTTGATGACCCAGTTCTCACTGGAGTTAGTGAGCAATACCAACAGGAAGACTTATTTGCAGATTTTTCAGTGGACCATAGTTAGGACTATGGGCTTCCAATACAATACTTTGAGGTGTACTTTTCTGTTTTATTTTATAATTGCTTTTTCATCACAGCAGTGAATCAATCAAAATTCATCAATGGACTCCTGAGACCACATGTATGTGCGGACTTGACCCCTGGGGCTGACAGCTGCCATCCAGCAGCTACCAAGAGGGATGTCCCTTGAGGTCAATGATCCCAGGATTGGAAAAGCCCAAGAACTGGGGAATAACCGAAGTCTGCCAGAGAGGGATAAAAGGCAGTGAAGAATGACCCCCAATGGCGCCCTCTTTGACCTGACCAGCACCCTGCCTGTCCAGTCAGAAGGAACAGCCGGCAATATCGCACTGAAAGAAGCCTCGACTGGCCACCGACGGCGGACTCCAGCACTTGGGGACAGGTATATCTTGAAACCAGTGCTTAGTGTTCAGAGCTAGCTACTGTGAGCATATGTGAATGCATGTGTGCTTGAGGGGATCAGCACCGAGGTTTATGGTCTGACTTTTGCATCCGTCCAATAAACTAGAATTTTATGATGATCCTGTGAGTTGGTGCTTGTAGCCAACAGTGGTACCCCAATTGGGGATCACTGCCCCACAGCCACCCCACAGTGAATTGTTACTGCTTCTGGTCTCACAACGCTGAATGAGGTTGAAGTTGGTTCCTTATTCCCACTTCCTAGGGAACTGGGAATAAGGAACTTAACTTCAGCTTCCTCAATGCTGAGCCAAGCTGAGGCAAACTGGGTTGCAATTAGTTGGTGCCCTGTCAAATCTCATTTCAGACTACAGGAGGAAGCTTGAGCCTGAAGTATAGCCCATGTTTGAGCAGCTGTCTCTTCATGCAGAGGGGAGGGATGTGGAAGAACTGGAAGTTTAATGGGACTGGGTTTGGCTGATACAGACCAGTTTAATATGGAAGGGGTTTTCAAGGTGCAGGTCTACTTAAAAACTGAACTGTTCCCACATCACCTACTGGGAACCAGTTCATAATTCATAAAATCTTACAGGGGTCAAATTGGAGCGCTAGAAGTCATCTAGTCCAAGCCCCTGCTGGATGAAGGATTATCCCTATCCAGAACATCTCATACAAATCATAATCTAAACTGTATGGAAGACTCCTGTCAACCTTGACACAACATAGACCTAATTGTGTCAAGTGTTGTAGTTCTGAGGGCAGGGGATGGGAATGAGTACCCAGCCTCAGAGTGTGACTGTGTGTAGGGAAAGGGGGAGTTGGGTACTTGCACCCATGCCCTCTGGGGCCAAGTGGGGGTGAATGACCCGTGGGTGGGGATATGGTCTTACTTTTCGGTGTTCTCTTCTCTGTGAAACACAAGGTTCAATGAACTCCAAATTGATGAAAGTCCCAGTCAATTCTTTGTCACCTGCCTTGGTGGGGGAATGGAAGAGAGCTCAATTTACTAGTTCCTAGGGGCTAGGGAGCCATGATGAGGGGGCATAATCAAGGAGGAAGCAAGGACACAGCTGGTTGTTAGAAAGATAGCTTTTATTGAACAAACAGTGCAAGGGAACTCATTGATAAAAAAGTGCCAATAAATGGGGCATGAAGAGGCAGTAGAGTTCTGGCTACATACCAGAATGGCCAGTTGCAGCAGCAGGTATAGGAGGGTTGAAGAGAAATGAAGCACAGAATGCCTGGAGGACCCATCAGACTGATGCCCTGGAATGCTGAGCGTCCACATGTGAACCCATCACTAACTTGGTTCAAACAGCGCTCAATTTTCCACTTTCTACTGCACCTTTAAACCATTTGAAGCAGCTTAAAGCCAGTTTAACAGACTCGTATGTCTACCTCAGATTAAAACTGCATTTAAACCAGTCTAACGTGCTGGGTGTGTTCATGCCCCATCTCCCTTTCTAAGCAATTTTTAAGAGAAGACTGCTCTTTAGGGTTCTGGAAAGTTACACTACCTGACTGGTACTCAGAATGGACAAGCTAAATTTGCATAATATAAACGTTCCTCCGATGTGCTGCGGCTTTATAAAGATGGACTAACATTCGAGTACTATAGGCACAGTGGTACAATGGAGAAGCACAGTGAACACTGTATCAATAAGACAGGAGCAGAGGAAGATTTTGGGATGGACTCATGCCATCCAAGACATTTCTAACTTGGGAAAGAATTAAGCCCTTGTCCTTAAAGACTGAAGGGGCTGAACACATACAATACTATCACCATAACTAGCTGTTTTGGCTGCATACCATCCATTACTTTCTCCAGGGGTTAGTGAAAGTTTGTAGAGCATCAAACTGAATTTTGTTGACAGAGTTGTGCAAGAACTTGTACTGTCCCATGGTCAGAAATAATATTGGGACCCACTCCAGGCAACAGAGGTTATTTCAGGATATACAATAGCCAAAGTGAAATTCAAATGTTGATATTCAATTCAGGTGTGAGACATGAGTGGACAGGAACAAATGGAATAAAGATAGGGGACAAGATTGAGATATTCTCCTGTTTTTCATTTTCAATTTAAATAGTACTCTAGGAATTAAATTTTAAACATGCTGAAAAGCAAGTAGTATGTCTTACTACATCCTTACAACCTGGAATAAACCCTAGCACCAAGTACTGTTCAGTTTCCTTGCATGTAAAATGACTCTGCGGAGACTTGGTTCTGTCCCTATTTTGTAGTACTCTGCAGATTGCAGCTGAGCTAGCTTATCTTTATAGGCTGGTCTTATTTGATCTGTAACTCTAATCTAGGACAATATTGGATTCCCACTTCATGCCTACAAAACATTACCTTTTTCCCCAAGAGTGTAGGTTGTAACCGTGTTGGTCTAAGGACATAGGCAAACAAGGTTCTTTGGGTGAATTTGATATCTTTTATTAGACCAACTTGAATAGTTGGAAAAATATTTCTTAGCAAGCTTTTGGGTTTAAAAACTCTTCATCAGGCTGAGGAAGCATCTGTAGTTTGTGTGTGCTCTTCCTGGATGGAATGACTAGTAGAGGCCAGAGGCTGGTATGCATACACGAAAGGCAGTCAGTGAAGATATAAATTGAGGAGTCAGTGGGTGAGAGGCCTGGGCGGGGAGGACAATTAATCCCCCTTCTTCCTCTGCGCCCCAGCCTGTCTAGAGGTATGTAGAAAAAACATTTAAAGCTATGTCTATGTCTGAATCACTGAATCCCTCCAAATCGATCTGGAGAGATTAAAGGGTCCGCTGATTCAATTTGGAGATTCAGCCACTGAATCGGGCTGAATCTTTGCCATATCCAATCAGGGACTGAAACTTCTCACAGCCCTAGTTTTTAAACCCGAAAGCTTGCTAACGAAAATTTTTCCAACATTTAAGTTGGTCTAATAAAAGATATCAGGCTCACACAAAGAACTTTGTTTGTCTTCCCCCCCCGTACATTCATGTTATCATTTCATTTGTATTTCAGTATTAAAATTGATTTAAACTTATTCCCTGGAGTACTTGATTTTGGTGGATTAAGCTTGTCAAGCCTTCTCTGCTCCCCAGAGCACCTCTGAGCATCAACAAAAATCCCTTCTGTGGGTGTTTCATAAACACTATACTGGTTTATTGTTCATTTATTATAACTGGTGCATGCTTACATGTGTTGACTCCAAACTGAGTTTTTCTGTTTGCTTATTTGGGAGCTTTTGAGGGAGGTAGGATATAGATATGGACATCTTAAAAAAGTTTCATGTATATCATCTGCTTGGCAATTCAGTGGTTGCTGACACTACAGTTCAGATTCTCTTATCACTGTTCTGGGGAAACAGGAGAACTTACTTCATGGTGTTGGCAGACAGAAAAAACTGGTATAGGTACCTTCCATAGGTTAAGTCTTACCTTTTCTTGTGCATCTTAAATTCTGACAACCGAGGGCTACCAAAACTTATAACACCATTTACTGAACATGCAGATATGAAGAGATGATTTAAGTATGCAAAGAGATCAGCTGGATCCACCATTTTTCCTAGTCTCCTTAAACAGATCATTTGAAGGTACCAGATTCTTCAGGTCTGATATACAGCAGCATTCCAGTAACAGATAGGAAACATTTGTGGGTTGGGATCATTGCAAGGAACTGGTATACCTGCTTTCAGGTACTCCTGCTCAGTAGAACACCTAGAAAAGGCATAAAGTCATTCCCCATTTCAAATTTTGTTTCTTTTTAACTAAGAAGAGCAGAGGAAGTGCAAATAGATAAATTCTTTTTAACACTTGGTGAAAAATGACAATGGTCTCCATTAACAGTAACACCCCCCTTCCTCTAATGCAAGACTGTGGTGTAAATCAGGTAATCTGTGGCTGCTGTGAAACCCACCTGGAGTTTTGGATGTGCAGCATTCCAAGAACCTTTCCCACTCCCCAAAATGAAAAAGAAACGGCCAAAAAACAAGCAGTGAAAGATGAGATCTATTCTGCTAATTCCTGGTAAAGTAGGATCTATCCTAATACTATAACTATTAAATAGCAGGTGTTGGATAGACTATATGTTAGATAGTGGCCCTGTACCCCCAACATTGTCTTGTATGGCTTCAGCAAAAACAAGGCTCAACTAAGGCTCAGGTTCTAGCAGGTCTCCCTAATCATCCCCCCTCTCCCGCCAACTTTAACAAGGTTTCAGGTTTTAAGTGGGTTGCTCTCTTCCCTCCCTTCCTGGAAGGTAACCAGGCTCAGTTGGGCTGCCAAAAATATGAGTTGGGAGTTTCAAGGTGTTTGCAAACCACATCTGGAAAATAAAAAGTAACACAGGGAGGACTGAATAGATATCTAAGTGATGGGAGAACTAACTGTTACATGTACCAAAGTAGTAAAATAGGATACATATATACCTGGTCTGTGCGGTAGCTGGTAATTTTTTTTGTAAACCCTAATATCTCCTTGGTTTCTGTAGTTATTCAATATATAATAAAAAGGTATCAGAGATGTAACTGTTCTATCATATGCTGTACACGTGACCTCTATGCACACTTCTCTGCCAGCCGGTTTTATCAGCTGGCTAACAGTAATTAAAGACCCTCTAGTTCTATTCACTGTGTTACTTCTTTAAACTTAATATGTACCAGTCAGCAAGATTTTTCAGATATTATACAAGCAGCTTCATGTTATAACTCTACACAGCTGTACAAGGAAAAGATTGCACAGAGCCTTTCACTGCTGTGTAGGAGCAGAATTGTTTGTACCTATTTTCTGTCTCTTCATTGTGAAGGGGGAAAAATGTTTCTTACCTACTCCCACAAAGCTGTAAAGTGAAGAGGCAATTCTTTTAGACAGACCCTGTCTTCTCACATATATGATAAATTATATATATCTATCACTGTATACAGAATTCTGTATTGGGGCTTGATAAATTGGAAAAGGTCCAGCGACTTTTGAGAGACAGATTAAATAAAGTTACAGGTAAAGGCATCTTATCAGGAATGACAATGGAGTTAACACATTAACAAGGTCCATTTGAAGACATATTTTAAAATAACATTTAATATTATTACAAGAATTACATTCAAAAGGTAACATTGAACACACTTAGCAATTATTTCATATATAACATTTCAAAGTTCTGCTACTCTTTGGCAGTAATCTTTATTATTGTAGATACTATCAACTTTTTCTTCAGAAAAATTAAACCTTTGAAAACCAGCTGTTTTTCCTCTAAGTATCATACACTATAGCTACGTTATTTCAAAGTCGCAGTTTCTATAAAAACAATTGAACTATACATTTTGTTTGGAATCAAGCAATCACTACATATCCTAAGCAAAAGTATTCTACTGGTCTTAAAATCTAACTTTTTGCTAAAGTTTCTTAGGGTCTTCTGTGCATAAGTTGTACTGCTTTACTTATCCCATTGTGAAGCACTACAACCCACCACAAACCATGGGTAGGCAATTACATCTGCACAAAAAGTGCTATAAATGTGTAAAGCTAGTTGAATATGAAAATGGAAATAAGTTACACTAGCAGACAGACCTCTATGCCGATATAACTGCAACCATAATGTATGGCGTATGCATTGTACTAAGATAACTATTTCAATTAAAAAAAAAAAAATCAAACTCTTAACCACTCCAGCTTTTGCAGTGGTACAAAATCTGTATAAAGACAAGGCCATTGACACTTAAATAAGTTTTCTTCTTTAGTGCAATGATTTTACTGTTAAACAAGTGGTGAAAGAAGCATTTCTGAAGCAGCCCATGAAAACAGGCAGAATGTCATGTGGAAGGTGGGGAATTTAGAAGCAAGTGACAAAAAAGAGGCTCTCAAAGTCATCTGAAAAAAAAATTGAGTATTGAAGAGAACCTGTGGCTGAGAGGTTAATGTTATTTGGTTGCTATATGGAAAAGCCTTTTTGATCAAAGGCATACTATACTCCTAGCCTGATGGGAAACAGGGAATAGAGCAAGAGAATGGAACAAGTCAGGGAAAATGGTTCAGCCTCAGAAGACAGTGTGAAATCAAACTGCTGAGGAGGCTATGAGCAGACAGACTGTACAGGCCTTAATTTAAAAGAGGACTAGGAATGAAGGATCTGATGGATCCTTGATTATAACAGCTTAGGCATAAGTACTTCACTAGCCTTGGGTAGGATGAGGAGAGTCTTTGACTGGTAATACATTGGGGCTCCTGTCACAGAACTGGAATTAAAAGTAAAACTATCAAATTACCCTGAGTGTTACCAATATATGCTTATTATTTTGAACAGAAACACTTTAAAAACATATTTCTGTCTAATAATGTTTTGCTCCAGTTTTTAATTGTATAGTAAATTATGCTTAATATAGTAAATTAACACTACATATTATCTGTGAATATGCCAAAAGGTTTCACAGATTCAGTCAGTCAACAGATTACATTCAGAAAGAAGTGTGATTAATTCACATTCATAATAAGCAAATAATGCCATACTTTGCTCTATTTTACTAGTAGACTTAATTGTATCAATGTTTAAAAATGACTGCAATTCCGTGTAGGACAATAAATGAGTATTTAATCATTGTTATAGCATAATTACAGTAAAGCATGTTGTGCATGTTTCACCATTTAATCTGGTACCCAAATAAGATGAAACCGTCAGTACAGTTGCAAGCCAATGTATTAGAGTAGCTTGTATTTCTATGCAAGTCTTGAAACTGCCCCCACCCCCATACACCATCTCAAAGCCTTTTGGGCATCTTTACACATGCTTTGGTGGGGGCAGGGGGGTGACGCTTTAATTAGAGTGGCTCTCAGAAGCTGCCCTAATTAAAGTGCCTAGCCCACAGCATCTTGTGTAATCAGCGTCATGCACTTCAAAATGGCAGCAGGAGTGCTTTAACTACGGTTCGTTCAATAAGCCTTAGTTAAAGCACCCCCACTGTCATACTGAAGTGGGTGAACGCTGAACATATGCGACTCCGAGGCTAATTCTAATTAAAATGTGTCAAAGCAGGCACTGGGCATGTGTATGGGTGCCCTTCCCCCCCCCCCTTTGGTTAAAACAGGACTGTTGTCTTGACAGGCCTAGTTTAGCAATGACAGTCTCAATTAACACTGGTAGCAGTAGCCAAGCGCACATCTTTCACCCTGACAAACATGGAACGTATACAAACACCCCAAACATAAAAGTACCTCAAAATAATTCAACCTACATAATTATTTGTACTTTCTGGGACTTATAGGCAGTTTGAAAACTCAAGAATGTTTGCTTTTGAAGAAATGTTCTAGTAATTCTCTAGCAGTGGCTGCCATTATGAGGTTAATTATCTATCTGACTGTAAGTAAATGCATCCTGTTAGGTAGTTCAAGACATTTAGCCATGTACTTCAGGGAAGGAATCAATCAATCAACCTATTTCCCCACTTTCCTAAATTCATCAGAACTGCTTTGCCAGCACAGTCCCAGAGGTTGCTCTTGAACCTTTCAGTCACAGCACTATGAATTGAAACACTCCCATCTCTAGTGCCACGAAACAGCAAAAAAATTACCTGTACCAAGAATTTAAAAAAACTACATAACACATATTTGCTTTTGATTTGTAAGTACCTTATATAGGGTAACATACAATTTTTACATGGGCTATCTTCATTAACTTACTGTTCAAAGGCTGTAAGGTGGCTTTAGTCACTGAAAGAATAGCTGAACAAAACATTCTTTCTTTTTGGAAGAATGACCAGTTTTGAATGATTAAGTAATTTGCAGTCAAAAATTCAAGCGGTGTAAATTACAAAATGTTATTGCCTAGGTCTCTTTTCTCACTATATAATCACTGATCTTGCAACAACAGATTACTATAATATAGATTTGAGATTCTAAATACAATAGATCTGCAATTTTATTTACAACAAAATAAAAGATTGCTCAATCTGAAAAAAACCACCTGTTGATATTTAACTTACTCCTTGGATTTGCAAATGTTTGGGCCAGAGTTACAGAAGATAGCACAAGAAGTAGAACTTAAGCTTCAGGAAAGTGTATGCAAACTGACTCTCCACTAATATGCAATATCAGTTTGGACATTCATACAAACTTCTTGCTTTTACCTTTAGGAGATAGAAGAATGGTTCTATAAAGCAGATTAAAATACTTGCATTGCAACTTTTTAGATGAATAAAAAAATCTGTCACGTTCATTAATGAATCAAAAACTTTGCTGCTTTGTTTATACAAAGTTTTCTTCAGTTCCTGATGTCAGAAAGAAAAGGAGAATAGTGGTGACTTCTCTTGGTAACCAAATTATGCCCTTTGGGTGCTATTACACATGCTCTGGGGGTGGAAGGGGCACCACTTTAATGAGAGTGGCTCTGAGAGCCACTCTCATTAAAGTGCTATAGCATCTTTTGTATCAGCATATCCCTGCTTCAGAATGGTGGCAGGGGCACTTGAACTAAAGCTTGACAGAAGAGCTCCTCAAACAAGTTTTATTTCAAGTGCCCCTGCTGCTGTTTTGAAGCACGGGGATGCTAATACACAAAACACAGGAGGCTCCTGGAGCACAGTAATTTCCATGCTCCAGCAGATTTGATTCATCGAGTCTGCTCCAACATGCTGGAATTACACTGCATCGGAGCAACCTCCACGCTTGTGTACAGGCACACTTTGTTGCCATAAATGTTAAGCATAAGTCCTTGCTGTTCAAGACAAACTGAGAAACCCAAATTAAGAATTATTTACTTCATATCCATAAAGGCAGGGAAAGAGGAAAAAAAAGCTGACATACAGTTTCAAAACTGGGGAAAAGAAATGAGTAACAAGCGTCCTTACAGCAATTACATCTCGCCCTTATTCATATTACAGTTCTCCCTTAGTTTTACTACTTATTCAACACATATTGTTTAACAGACGACTTAGCTCTCTAGAGTTTCCAAAAAGTCACATTCAACACTTTCTTCAAGTTGCTTCAAGATCCTTGTGCCACTACCAGCAGGATATTTGACTGATAAATACATTGAACTCTGCATTTTTGGGGACCCATCACCTTTTGTTTTAAATGCAGAGCTCAGAGTCCTGAAGAAGGGCATTAGTTGTGTGATACTGGATACAGAACGAAGGTTCAAAAGAGGAAACTCAGATTTTTTTGAAGTTCTCTCATCAGCATTGTTTGTTTCCTGTAAAGAAGCACATACACAAGAAGCCTCACTAAGAGTTCTGGAGTAAGATACCATTATTTTTCTGTGTATAATTTGGCTGAAATCTGTACTAGTCACTTTTCTCAGTGCATGGGGGGGAATATCTGTGACCTTTAATTCCATGCTTTTCTGCATTATCAAATGATTTGAACAGCTGCTCCCTTACATTCCACTCTATGTTAAAAAGTGGGGCCTGTGAACAGTCTCTCACTTTGGGGTCATGTATCACAGAGTTCTGGTAGAAAACTGCACCTCCACCACTACATCTCTGACTTGCAGAAACGGCAGAGGGCCAACTCTACCTCTGGTTCTTTTCCACAGCTATGTGCAGCCACTAGGCAAACTGATCAGATGACACAGATTTAAGTGCCAACAACATGCAGCCAGCTCTCCCTTTCCCTCACCACGTATGATCATCTTATTACTGTCATGATGGACAATGTTTGGATGAGATCTGATCATTCATAAGCCTACGAAGCTGAATTCCAGTGGGAGGGTGTGCTTGTGGGAAGCAGGGAGCATTCACAAGTATGGCACAGTATCCTTCAGTTGAAGCTACATGGCACGGATGTACACCAAAACTGAACTGTGTGGCATACATGGATATTCACCCCAAATCAGATTCACTCCTGCGGTGTTTAGCCGCTACGTGTACCTAATGTGAAGGTACCTAATCAATTTTATAATTTTTATATCTGTCTGTATTGCAGTATTTTATATAAAAGTACTTTTGTAATTTCATGATGTAACTAGACGATAATCAAATGAGGTATTTAGCTTAGACCCAAGACACTGTCTGCCTGTAATAAGGCAAATCAACTCTACAATAAAGCGGCATCTGAGAGAAATGGAGCTTCAGCCAGGGGAATTCCAGGTACCTCAGACTGACCAGAAATTTTTAGATGACTCATGAGTAATTCAAATAAGGCTTTTGAAGGGGAAGTGGCTGAGGAGGCTTTTTAGAGTCTAGCTAGGACAGGATCAGTGTCTTTGAACCTCGGCCTTTGTAGGTTCGGTGCTCCCAGTGCCCAGAGCTGGCAGATTCAGCAGGCTAATTTTTTTTTTTTTTTTTTTTTTTTTTAAAAGACTTCGCGC